TAACAACAATCCAAAAAATGTAAAGTATATTCAAAAAAATCTAAACTTTAATGAGGAAGAGCATATAAAGAAATGGTTTGAGTATAGGATAGATCTGTTTGCACTATGTTATATAATAAATTGTATAAAAAAAGGAAATTAAATTATATTTTTCCTATTATTATATTATACAATGCTCATCTCTTTAATATATAACAGATTATTCAAAAAAATAGAGCTAAAAAACAAGAGGGAGAGGGGGAGGTAAAGTAAAGATCATTTCTCGAAATATATAAATATATATTTTCTTATTTATAATAAGAATCAACATATGTGGATTTTGAATACTTTAGGAAGAGCGCTTTATTTTATACAAATAATATCTTTTTAATATATAGCTATTTTTTGTCACATACTGTCTTTTTTCTGAGGCATAGTGACTTGTAATCTCCCTCTAATTAGTATACTAATTATAGTATACATACCAAAATAAGTTTAAAGTTAGTACTTGTCTCTGAAAAGGGACACTGTAACTTAAAATAGAGCCGAGCTTGGAAACATCAACAATATTTCTTGCTTTTAGAATTTAAAAAAATAGAAAAAGTTTTAAAACAAAGATCAGGAGGTGACAATTATTTTACTATTCATTTTTCATAATGAATCATTTAAATTAGCTATTTTATTGCTGAATATTAAAATTCAATTCCATAATACTAAAATTCAATTCCATAATACTAAAATTCAATTCCATAATAGAGATATTCGAGCCAAAACGGGCCGTGCAAAAAATATTTTTTCTATCGAGCCACAAGGCGAATCGAGTCGAAAAAGTTCGGTTTTGTAGGTCTCTGTGACTAATAAGGCTATTCCATGCATTTACCATTTCTCAGGACTAACCCTGCATACAGTTCGCGCGAATTCGCGGTAAAGTATATAAAAATAGACATTTGTGGCGGAGAACATAAAAATGTGGAGTATTTTGCGTAATTCTTCGCGAATTCGTGCTAACTATGATAGCAGGGTATGGTGATGTCTTGGTTCAAATTATATTTGATACTAAACCGCTTTTGAACTAGGGCACCTTATTTTGCTTTGTTTTAAGTGTTTGGTGGCATTTATTCTCTTATTTTAGGCTATGTAGTTGAAGTTACATAGCTGACTAAACAGCGGGCTGTTTGGGAATAGGTTGAACTAGGACACAGCCTAAACTCTTTTTGAATTAGTTAGGTCAGAACCGATATAATCTTTTTTTCTCGGGGAACATTGAATTCCTTCAGTAATTAGAGTCTAAAATAACAAATCAACTTATGCAATTATAAACGATTATCTCTTTCGCCTAACCACTCAGTCCTATAACTAATTTTAAAATCATTATCTCCCTTCGATAGAATGGAATAAATTTAAATTTTTTTATTAGCAATACTCGAAGTCAAATTTAAAGAAAATCGAAGTTCATTTACATCTATCCCAATATTTATTTATTTTTTCGATTTCCTGTATTTTTCTTTTTTTAAAAAAAATATAATACTGTTTTATGCGTTAATGTAATTAATCCTACACTATGCGTAATTTATGATTAAAGTTCCTTATATAATATATGTAATGTTATAAAGAGCTATTAGCTTTTTTTATAAATTACATTAATATTATTGGCATAAAGACTATTTGTAAGAATTTTTTAAAATTAAATTTAATTATATGGTTATTATATATTAAAGTAAATGGATGTTAATACAACTAAACTATGGGTCTGCTCATTACATTTACCTTATCGTATTTATAAATATAACTACAGCTTTATTAAATTTAATTAAATAAAAAAATTTAATTTTATAAATCTTCTATAGTCTATAAGTTGATTATGATACTACAATATGTAAAATGATCCTATAATACGTAAAGCACAAACTATGGATCTGCAAAGTTCGGGTGAACCGTGACGAGATTAATAAAGATTCAGATTCATATCAAATTTTTGAAAATGTAACTCGAGTCAAAATATGAGATTTAAACTATTTTACTTTTATAACTGTCAAATAAATCGAAAGGATCAAATAATATCTATAAAGATCATTGAATTTAAGATTCAAAATTATTTTGAACAGGGGGAAAGAAGCCTTAATGTATCAAGATGTATTTATTTTTGAATTGAAGGAAATCCTATATTTAATACTCAACCTAAGGCGTGCTATTATTTTTATTTCGTTTATGATGGTTTATGTTTATTGACTGGAAAAACTTCGGGCATTACATATTAGTTCGCCTAGGAATTCAGTGCTTCATAATTTTTCTTTCTAGCATCATGGTAATCTTGGCATTTTTTTTGTAACAATAATTCATTTTTCTTTATAATATCTACATGACGGGGTGAAGCATTAAAATGTATTCATATTAACTAGATATAAATTTCAGAGTTAACGCTCCCAGAAGTATGACTTTATGCTTAAGATGTGATATCATAGTTATTATTTGACTAATAATTCGGTTACTTTTTTGTGGTTGCAAAATTGATTAAAGGATTATAATTAATAAATAAGGTCCTAATTATTAATACAAACAAGATATTTATAACATCTATCCTAAGTTTTGTTAAGATGTATTTTTTAAGTGATTTTATGAATAATTTGGTTCCCTCTCTAATTAATTTATAAACAGATTAAAGTATTAAAATATACTAATTAACCCCTACTTAAATGCTCGGAATAAGTTTTAAAATTTGTGTCCAAAAGCTTACGCTTATAACGTTGACGTCATAGCTTTCATTTTGTTTATAACTCGGTTGCGGTTTACAAAATTGATGAGGTATTAATAAGTACTAGTCAGTCAATTAATATTAGTAAAAATCAGATATTTCAATCTTCTATATTTTCTATTCTAGCATGATCTCAATTTTTTTAATAATTTTTTAATACTGTCAGTGTCCATGTCTACTACTATTAAAATAATATAGAATTAAGCACTAAAAATTTATAAAATTTTCTAAATAAATGTTTTCAGTCGGTTTCTGATCTTACGACTCGCCAAAATTTTCTTACAAATATAATATTTTCCTTTCTACTCTCTACTATATTAGTTATAACACTAATAAAGCACGAAATATTGGTATAGATGTTAGAAAGTGCTTCCAATTCAACCAAAACGGAGATGATATAAAGATATTGCCTATTTTAAAATTTTAAATGTATGAACCTTTAAATAATAAACTAATGAATAGCTCTTATGTCACTTCAAACATATTATGGGCCAGGTTTATAAATATATAAACTTTTCATAACAAAATCAATCAAAAATCATTATATTAATTTAAATATATGGCGGCTATCTTTTTTTGACTTGCATGTCAATTACAATATTTTTATCACCTAGAAATATTGGTGGCCATTTTTATTAATATGCAAAATACCCATAATGAGTAGTCTAAAATAAATATTCAGATTTCCAATTAATAAACGGATAATTTTTATGATTTAAATAAATCATTGGCAAAAATCATATGAATTCAATATACTATCACAGCCATTTATAATTTATTAAATTGTCGTTCCAAATATAATTTTTGTTTCACGATCTCAAATGTATCTTTATAAATATACAAAATCATAGCCAAATTTGTACCCGGCCAGATTCCAATTTTTTACTAAGGCTCGGCCTAGCCCTGGTTTTTTTAAATATATGGCCTAACCCAAAATATAACTTGAACACCAAAATAAACAACTATTTATAATATTGTGGAGTAGTTAAATTAAAAACACTACACTTTATGAATTATCACTTATAAAATAACAATTCATAAATAATCCTGCCTAATAATTTTTTCCCGACACAACCCGTTTATTTTTTTGTCCGGACAAATTCAAATAAATTTTCCGGACAACCGGGCCTGGCTTGCACCTCTAATCGCCATTGATTATCATTAAAAAATTAATAAATGCGCGAATGAAAAAACATATATTGAGGGATTATTTACACAAGCATTCACTCGTAATGCTACATCAGACGAGCTAAAAATAATCGAACTGGGCCGGAAATATTTTTTTTTATAATTTTTTTAAACTGAATTATGCAAATTTATGATTTTTTTCTCACAAAAATATTTTACGGGCTGAATAACTTGTACGAATTTTTTTAACGAACCGTAAAATATTTTTTCTTTTTACAAATCTTAACTTCTTATTACAAGAAATTTATTAAATAAACAAAAATGTTTTTCTTTGAAAATTAGTTCATAAATCAAACAAATTTAAAAAAAATTTTTTAACCAACTATTTCTCTTATTTGCGGCAGTAAACTGTTTAAACTTTTTTTTGATTAGGTTAATACTGTATTATATAATATAATTTTATTATTAATCTAAAAATATAATGCATATAAAAATATTATAAGAATTCCTGGCATGAAATTTTAGATAGCTTATAATAACTTGTTAAGAAAGCTTAATATTCCTACAATCTCATTATTGTTATTATAAAGTTTCAAAAAAAGAGGAATTAATTTGACAAAACAATAAGTTGAGTAAGAGAAAATAATGTTACAATTTTTTACTATAATTTAATAAAATTAACATGATAAATTTTAATGAGGAAAAGTTCAAAAAAATTATTTCAAATTTTAAAGGGGAAAATTTATGATTTAATTGAAATTAATTAGTGTTTTTATTTTTATTTTTAATTAAAACTATGACAATCTCGTCCTAAATTTTTCTTTCTCCCTATAAAATCAGTATTTAATATTTTCTTTTTATATAAAAAAAATTGTACAAAAGGCAGATGATTTTAATACCGTCTGCTTCTTTTTTTAAAGGGAAGGGGGATTGGGAATAAAATTTGTTTAGAAGATAGATAATAATAGCAAGTGTAAGATGTCTCGTCTCGACGAAGAATAGAATAATAAATATAAAAATAAAAAAATCATCGTTAAATCAATTTCTAGGAAAAGTATTTGATTTTATTATAATAAGTATTACATAAAAAAAAAATTTATATAAGGTATAGATGTTATATAAAATTTTATTATAAATTTACTGAATTCATTTTCAGATAACAAGTGTCCGCTTCCTTCTTCCCCCGATCCAACAATATCTTCATCGTCTAGAATTTTATTTAGAAAGGTACGTTTAGATGGTGGCCTATATTGAGCAGAATTGACCAGAGTTTGCTATTATTAGTATAAATTTTAAGGAATAAATTTTGATAGCTGATAGGTCTGAAGCCCGAGAGCTGACGAGCTAAAAAATAATAGCCGGAAAACTTGTACTATTATTTTAAACCTCGAATAATGAAATTTTATCATTTTAAATGGGTTGGGAAATCTTAATCTTTACGGCCAGTTTAGGCTCGGTTGTGCAGACCTTTAATCTGCAGTTTAAAAAAAACCGAATTTATTTATTGGTAACTTACCCACTGGAATATAAGAATAGAAATGTATAATATTGGAATCATCGACAATTCGAATTTTTAAAATTATAACATTATTTTACAAAATGATTTTTATATTTTAATTATCTAAAAAAAATTATAGGTAAATGATATTTACAAAATTACGAAAAAATTATGTTGTATTAAATTATATTCGATTTTTTATAAATATATAATATATCAAGTAGCTTAAGAGTTAATAGGAATCAATAGTAGTTCTGAAATAAAAATCTGATTAAATTATTTCTAAAACAAAAGTTAAAAAAATACAATTTATATTATAGAATAGCATTGTAAAAAAAAGCATTGTTTTGATTATATTATTTAATTATTATTTATTATATTTATATTTATTTTAAAAAAAATTATGAATAATCTTATATGATAAAATCCATTCCATATTAGGGACCATGCATATGGTTAAAAGTCGTCAAAATTCAATTATTCATGAATTAAATACAGTATCTTAATCAGATACATAAATATTTAATTTTTTTTAAATTTTTTGTTTTTATAAATCAAGAAAATATTTAAGAGAACGAATGTGAAATAACCTGTTTTTTAACCATGTTAAAATTATTTAACAATATCACCACACAAGACCCAACCCTCATCCTTCATAATTATTTCTTTTTTAAAAAAATTCGATTGGATCTAAAATTTATTTAAATCTCCATGATCGTCTGTTTTCTAAATACCAAAAAAATCACTTAATTTTATTCCTTAAATATAATCATAAATCATTTATGTGTAAGATAAAATCTGGTCAAATTAAAAATAGTTTAGTATACTGTTATAAATACTTACTAGCATAATTTGATTTTAAAATAAATTAAATAAAATCTAAGTTTAGGTAACTTTTTGACACATAAATAACCTCATTTTTTAATTTAAAAACAGAGCTGTGAACCAAACCTGAACCACAAGGAACTAACTTGAGTTTTTGGAAAATAAACTGTTTAGAAAATTTTACAAACTTGAACCTAACAGGATTTATTTTTTAAACCCGGTGTACTATTATTACTGAATATATTCATTAAGTATGATAGTTTGATTATAAATCATTTCATCCCATGTTAATTGGGAGTGGTCATTTCATCATACCAATGATGATTCGAGCCTGCCTATTCGGCTCAGCAATATTTGGGTGAGATAAAAATTACAAAATACGATATAATTTTGTATTCTCCGCCTCGAATTTGCGCTAACTGTAATTGAGGGGTTAAAGTTGGACTGTACTGCTTTGATCAATCGGGGTGTAAATATTTAACGTAGTAAATCTGTTGATTTGGTGTTATGTCAAAACGCGAAAAATGGCTACAATGCATAATTCCGCTTTCAAAAATAAGCAAATGGGTAATTTTTTAAAAAATAGAGGAGGGTAGGTTGTATCAGAGATCTTCAGGAGCCTTCTTTTTTGTTCAAGTCCGACCCAGGCTTGCAGTAAAAAATATCATAGATCCGGCCCATATCTAATATATAAAAAAATTCCCACGCCCACATTAAGTATCAAAAAAATATCCCAGGCTCGGCCCAAGTCCATATCCAAAAATTTTATTTATTGTATTTTATAATAAACAATATTTAAGGGTTTAGTTAAGGGTTTAGGCAATCATTTTGTTTAGAATATGAAAATTTATTATTATTAGAGGGAAAAATCGCAATATTTCTTTAAGTTAGCAACTGTTTTAAATAAGTTAAATTAAAATTTTTTAGGCCAAGCCCATTAATATAAAATTCAAAAACCCATGCCCGTTAAGAATATGATATTAGGGCCTGTGCTGCGGGCCAGCCTGGCCTATTAAGGTCGGGCTTTATATATATATAGTTTTATCAATTTCATTTAATCATGGGTACTTAAGCTGTCTAAAACGCCACATTTATAATAATTTTAAATTCGAGATTTTTAAAAGATTCTGAAAAAATAGGAATTCTGATTTCCAATCCTTACGCTAGGCTTTTGAACCTTAAATTTATCAGGCGAGTAGACAGGAATTTGCTTTGGGGAAGTTGGAGGGGAAGGGAGAGAATTTTTATAAAAAAATTCTAAAATGCATCTTGAAGTTATTATTGAACATCATTTCACAAATATATTAAAGTAATGACTATGACACTTATTAATATCTAAATTAGAGATCTGCAAAAGTAGACCCGGCCTATACCCAACCCAAAGGGGCTCCGGGCAGGACCTATTTTTTAAAAAAAATTGGGTTCGGGCTGGGGCGGGCCTAATATTTTTTAAAAAAATGGATTGGGTCGGGTCTTGGAATTTTTTTTAAATATATCAAAATTTATCAATTTTATGTTGAATTATTTATGTAAAATAAAAATATTTTATTTTATTTATAGAAACTAACATATATCTTTTATTTTGAGTTAATATAATTTTTTTTAAAAAAAATTAATTTTTATATTTAAATAAAAATTCGGGCCGGTGTAGGATTGTGAAATCAATACCCATTGTAGTTTCAATACCGTATTGATATTATCATTGTAGATTCAATACCGTAGTGATATTTTAGAATTGTAGAATCAATACCGTATTGATTTTTAAGAGATGTTTTCATCGCTTCAAATATATCGGCGGCCATTAAAATTGTAAAATATCTATTCATTATATATTTTTCATCGTTTCAAATATATTGGGGGCCATTAAAATTTTAAAATATTTATTATTATATGTTTATTCATCGCTTCAAATATATTGGCGGCCATTAAAATTATAAAATATTTTTTATTATATATATTCTTCATCGCTTCAAATATAATGGCGGCCATTAAAATGATAATATATTTTTTACTATATATATTTTTCATCGCTTCAAAAATATTGGCGGTCATTTTCGATTTGTAAAAATTTATTTAAAATAGATTTAAATGATTATATAAATGATTTTCTATTCTTTTATATAATTTTTTAAGGGAGTTTATTTATTTTACAATTCTTAATTACCTATATAAATTTTATTTGTTTAATATATACAAGTTTTCTTCATACATCATATTAATCTCAAGCCTTAAAATTTTAATAGACAAAAGTAAGCTAATCACAAACAAATATGGGTTTCTATTACGTCAAAGGATCTCAATCACTCACTCTGATTAATCATTTCCTCTTGGCTTCTTAAAATCGTCATTTTATTTATTAGATGTATATATAATTATTGCAGAAAATTTTAAATAAATAAAATGCATACAAATTTTTTCATACATCGTATTATTGGAATCTCAAGCCTTAAAATTTTAATAGACAAAAGTAAGCAAATCACAAACAAATAAGGTTTTCTATTATAAGCATCTCAATCACTATCTATCACTCTGATTAATCATGTCCTCTTGGCCTCTTAAAATCGTCATTTTATTTATTAGATGTATATATAATTATATTTTTAGCTGATTAAAATTTAACACTTATATTTATGGAATACAAAATTTTTTATACAGATGTAAAATTAAGTTTAAAATCAAATCTTAATGTTTAAATTATTCTTTTAAACTGAAACAACTATTTTTGTTTGTATATATATATATATTTTATTGCAATAATATTAAAACTGGCTGATTTCTTAATATTATTTAAATAAAAAGGATATACATAATTTTATTTCTAAAAAACAAGAAAAATATTATAAAAAGAAAATATATCCCAAAATAGGAAACATAATTATCACAAAAAATTGAGTGTATATTACACTATAATACGATTAAAATGATCTGAAGATGCATTTATCAAATATATATTTAAATTAAAAATTTTTATACAGTCCATTTTTGATAATGCAGAATATGTAATATATTTCATTTCCATTTTTACAATAAATAATAATTGGCTTCTGGAAAAACGTAGCAGATGCTACGATATCTAATTCATACGCCCACGTTCCAAGTTGATGTTTTTTTGTATCAACCAAATGTTTTATTAAATCCTTTTCCATAAAATCAGTAAAATCATTATTCCAACAGCATCATATAAGAGATTATAGATCCCCTTATAATTGCATGGTGATCCTCGCTGCCTGTGATCTCTTTGCTCAAGCAGCGATTCGGACATTTTTCCACCCTTTCTATCCGCACGTCGTGAGTTCCAGATCAGGACCTGTTGCCCGACTCATAAGGGATTATATCCTTTTGCCTTTTTTGATAATCCCTTTTTTGTCTATCTTGGGCAACAAGTATATTTTCTTTTGCCCTTTTCCATACGACTGATAGGCGCATTATTCTTTCTAATAATTCACTCTCTTCAAAGTCATTCTCAATATTATTATTGATTTCCTTAACAATATCTGGCTCAATTTTCGAATTTCTGATGGCAGCTTTGCGTTCCGACCATACATCATATAAAATGGGGTGAATCCTGTAGATTTGTGGACACTGGTTTGCATTTCAAATAATACCCCCGGAAGAACCCTAGGCCATAGTGTTTGATCATCACTCAAAACCTTAAGTTTTGAATAGTACGATTATTCCTTTCTGTCAACCCATTAGCTTGAGGATGATATGCACTGCAAATGCGTTGCTCCGTTCCTGTCATTTTATGTAATCTCGTGGCTATTTCATTCACAAACTCTCTTGATCATTGATTTGTATCTATATTTTATAAAATCAAAAGTTTATAAATTATCATAAATGCACATTTTTTAACCGATATATATTTATATAATTTGATTTACAGTTGCGCTGCCATGGCGGCAAATCCGACCATAAATAAATTTACAAGTCTCTTCAGCTGTCTTTGATCTCATAGGTTCTGCCTCAACCCATTTTGTGAAATAATCAGAAGCAACTGCAATACATGTGTAGCCTTCTTCTGAAGTGGGCAGGCTGCAAAGATCAATTCCTATTTGAGCCCATGGAAGAGGTGGTACATCTATTGGATTCAAAGTAGAAGAAATTTTAGAAAATCTTGTATTGGCCTTCTGACATCTATCACATGATTTTATAAAATCAATAGTGTCTTGAAATAATTTTGTCCACCAATATCTATAAACACAAAATAAACAAATTAACACCATAATAAATACCTTTCAGAGAGTTTAAGTTGAGTTTTATTAATGCCTAGATGGGCACCAATAGCTTTAGATTCTAGGGATATATCTGATCCTTGGTGAATAATAGATATTACCCTTTGTTTCTCTGCTTCATCCATTATTACTAAAGCTAAT